ACCGACTTCTCTGCGGCTTGCTGTTTCTTCTTTTTCGTTTTGGGAGGGTTTAGGGTTTAGGGTTTAGGGTTTAGGGTTAGGGGTTTAGGGTTTAGGGTTTAGGGTGGTGGGGTGGCTTGGGAGGTTTGGGGTTTTGGGTTTGGGGGCTAAGGATTTAGGAATTAGGGTTCCACGGCTTTGAGGGTTTGAGTGCTTGGGGCTGATAAACGGTTTGCCGTTTACATGGTTTGCAGGTTTGGGGTTTAGGGGTTAAGGGTTAAGGGTTTAGGGTTTAGGGTTTGGGGCCGATGCACTAAACCCTTGCCCGCGACGATGCCTTGTCCAACGTCCCCTTTCCTCCCTTCCCTCTTCCTTGTTTAGGGCTTAGGGTTTAGGGTTTGCGTAGTTGCTGAGTTTCTTAAGCCCCCACAACGTGTGCACTTTCAGTTCTATAGGGGATCATCGTATCCCAAAAAGTGTAAAGTGCACTCGTTCAGGTACTAAGTTTAGGGTTGCAGCATTTCTCCATGGACTTAGAAACTCCCGCCGCACTTCTATACTCACCTTAGAATTTCGAAAAAACAATAACCCTAAACCCTAAACCCTAAACCCTAAACCCTAAACCCTAAACCCTATAAACCCTAAACCCTAAACCCTAAACAAAAATAAAAGTGATTCGCGAGGGGGATGTAGACTTGGGCACCCGGCAATCTCATCGAAGTGCTGCGAGTAGCGGCACACCGTGAGGCCCCGTGAGTGCACCTGGGTTAGGGTTTAGGGTTTAGGGTTTAGGGTTTAGGGTTTAGGGTTTAGGGCTTAGGGCTTAAGGTTTAGGGTTTAAGGTTTAGGGTTTAGGTTTAGGGTTTAGGGTTTAGGGTTGAGGGTTGAGGGTTTAGGAAGGCTACTGGCTTGAACTGATATGGGGGTTTCCGAATTTAGGGTGTACCTTATTGGGGTCCCTGTTTTCAGTGGATCCTACTATTTGGGGGACTGCAGGAGGGGTCCCTTATTTTAGGAAACCCCCATATTGATCTTAAAGCCACAGCTTGTAAAAAATCTGAAGGCGTAACCAGAATAAAACCCCTAAACCCTAGACCTTATAAACCCTGATACAAACCCCGGGCCCGGGCCTCATCCGAAAGGTCTGGCGGTCCCTTGAACACTTCCAACGCCACATTGAAGCCCAAGCCCAAAACCGTGAAAACTGTGAGAACCACCCCTAAACCCTCAAACCCTAAACCCTAAAACCCTAAACCCTCAAACAATAAAGGCCCAGAACCCTAAAACCCCAAAACCCTAAACACCCAGAATGCCCCAGTTCCTTAAACCAACTCGGGGAGCAGATTTCCCACACAGGGGTCCCAAACTTCTATAGGAACCGCCCCCCCCCCCCCCCCAAAAAAAAAAAAAAAGAGAGAGGGGAAACCCTAGATGTGGGGGCCTGCCACCAAAAAAAAGTTGAAAAAAGGGGAAAGCCTAGATATGGAACCCCCCCCCCCCCAAAAAAAAAAAAAAAACACAAGACAAAAGGAACCAGGTATGGAACCGCCCCCCCCCCCCCCCCCCCCCCCGAAAGCCGACTCTCGGAACCTTTCAGCCCCGAACCCCCCAAAAGGTCCCTCAAACCCCTTCAGAACCCGGAGCCTCCCTCCCCTTAGAACCCCGACTTAAGGGGTTTAGGATTTGGGGGTTTAGGGGTTTTGGGGCTTTAGGGGTTTAGGGTTTAGGGTTTAGGGTAAAGCCCCCTACAAACCCCCTGAAACGCCCTGAGCATCTGAGAGGAAAGCAACTTCCCCATTCACGGGCACGGAGACTTTCCCCACGAGGTTGAGGAGGGTCGATTTGCCTTCGCTTTGTAGGGAAGGAACCCCGGGCCCCAAGTTTTTTCGGGGTTTGGAGTGTAGGGGTTTGGGGTTTGGGGGGTTAGGGTTTGGGGTTGATGGGGTTTCTGGTTTAGAAGTTTGGGGTTTAAGGCTTTCTCCAAGGGCTTAGCGGTTCTTTGAAGACTTTAGGAGTTTGAGGAGTCGGTCGCGGCCACATCTCTTTTTGCCAGCTTCGAAAGAACTCTTCGAAGCGAATCTTACGGCATGACCAATCAATAGCTGAGTTCATGTCGTTCTCTTTTCCCCTTGAATCTTCAGAACCATTAGTAAACGAATGAGCGCCAATACTCAGTCAAAGAGCTACGAACGAAAGAAATGAGCTTACCAGTTGTTCTTTCAAATTGGCTTTCAATATGAAAATCCGGTTTTCGAAGTTCATAAGATCTAGGTTCGGGGTTTAAGGTCTAGACAGGGAGCTTAGTTGGGCTTACATCGAGTTTATCGGGTTGTCGTGTTTTTCCAGGGTTTTCAGGTTGGGGTTTGGGGTCTTAAGGCAATCACCTGCAGCCTCCACCGGCAGTCTGTTGTTGTGTACTTGTCTTTACCAATAACCCTTGAAACCAAAACCCTAAACCCTACGCCCTAAACGTCCCGAGGCCCAAAATCACCCTGGGGTGCGCGGCAGCTGCGTTGCGTTGACCTGTCGAAGGACGATTAGCCTGCTGCTCTGCTCTAACTTGGGATGTTCTCCCTTCATACTAACAGTCCTTCATAGGGATTATAGTCGGGGGGGGTACTAGAATCCCTATGACCCTATGAAGGACTGTTAGAAAACGGCGGGGGAACATCCCAAACCGTAGCGGTTCATGGCCTGGTCCCTCTCGTGTTCGGAAGGCCCTTCAGCCAAGTGCAAGTCACGCCCAGCCCAGCCAAACATGATGAGTCCTCTGAGCATGCACGGCCAGAGAGGACTTACAAGGAGGGGTCCCCCCTAGTTATAAGTAGAGTTCTAAGGACCCTAAATTAGGTTCTAAGGATCCTAACTTAAGTTAGAAGTCCCTTTAACTATAGTTAGTGTAGTAAGGGGGCCCCTCCTTGTAGCTTTGGAGGCATCACGGTCATGATGCTGCCCACAGACTGCGCCACAGCCAGTCTGCTCGCTGCCTGCTGAAACGATGGGCTGCAGCTGAACAGAAGTTAACCGTTTAGGATCCTATAGGTTTTAGGGTTTAGGGGTACAAGCCCGAACAAACTTGTTGGTTCTTAGTAGGGAATGGGGGGAATTAGGCACCTCACATCCCCTACATATGTACCCGTTGAGAGATTAAATCCGGTCCCTAGCTCATAAACCCTAAACCCTAAACCCTAAACTCCTCCCTGCAACGAAACTGTAAACAAAATGGACTAGAGCGTTGAGCGCAGACTCCACATGCGCACTATACTGCTCCAACAGAATTATAGGTCAAGGGATTACTTTGTTGACGGATGACTCCTCGAACCCTGAACAATTAGGGTTTAGGGTTATTTAGGGTTTAGGGTTTAGGGTTGTTTAGGGTTTAGGGTTTAGGGTTTAGGGTTTAGGGTTTAGGGTTTAGGGTTCAGGGTTCAGGGTTCAGGGTTCAGGGTTCAGGGTTCAGGGTTCAGGGTTCAGGGTTTAGGGTTTAGGGTTTAGGGTTTAGGGTTTAGGGTTTAGGGTTTAGGGTTTAGGGTTTAGGGTTTAGGGTTTAGGGTTTAGGGTTTAACCCTAAAGATCAACTCCCGGATGCACCTGCTCCGTTGGGGCCCACGACGGCGACGCGCGTCGAAGTCTGGGTTGGGTTACTTGGGGAAGGCGGAGGTTTTGTTTGGAGCTCTACTATTTGCTTAAGACCTACCATGTGCTGAATTAAGACCTTAGGGTTTAGGGTTTAGGGTTTAAGGAAGACCCCCTCATATTAGTAGCGGGCTCTTAAGCAAGTAGCAGGAGTTCTGAAGGCAGATGGCAACAGTTTCCGCGGTGCAATACACTCTCGACCCCAGACCCTTACCCCAAACTTCCACGGACGTGACTATTCTGTCCTCCAAAGTCCTGGTCACCAAATTTCTAAGTCCCTGGTAGTATACGGTGTTCTAAACCCTGACCCTAAACCCTAAACCCTGAACCCTGAACCCTGAACCCTAAACCCTAAACCCTAAACCCTAAACCCTAAACCTAAACCCTAAACCCTAAACCCAGGTGAGCCGTGAAGAAGGATTTGGGACACGCGCGTCGACGCGGAAGTTGAGGCCGTGGAGGAGCCAGGGCTTCTTGCCTCACAGCCGGGGGTTTAGGGTTTAGGGTTTAGGGTTTAGGGTTTGGGCTTAGGGTTTCGGAGTTTAGGGTTTAGGAGTTTAGGGGCGTAGGGTTTAGCATTTAGGAGCTTAGGGTTTAGGGTTTCTATGCCTTCAAGGCCCTAGAGCCCCACCCACCTTCTGCTATCTCCGACTTGCAAGGGTTTGGGGGTTTATATAGGGAGGGTTTAGGGTTTAGGGTTTAGGGTTTAGGGTTTAGGGTTTAGGGTTTAGGGCTTAGGGTTTCGGAGTTTAGGGTTTAGGAGTTTAGGGGCGTAGGGTCTAGCATTTAGGAGCTTAGGGTTTAGGGTTTCTATGCCTTCAAGGCCCTAGAGCCCCACCCACCTTCTGCTATCTCCGACTTGCAAGGGTTTGGGGGTTTATATAGGGTTTAGGGTTTAGGGTTTAGGGTTTAGGGTTTAGGGTTTAGGGTTTAGGGTTTAGGGTTTAGGGTGAGGGTAAACTGCACTGCCCAACTGCGTCTCGGGCCGGAGTAGCTGAACTCGACATCATGCACCTGGCGCTGGGCTTGATGTTTGGAGACCTTGGGGGGGTTTAGGGTTTGGGGTTTGGGGTTTAGGGTTTAGGGTTTAGGGTTTAGGGTTTAGCCTTTAGGATGCCTTTAGGGTTTAGGGTCTGAGAATAAGCGGCCGAGTTCTACCGTCATCTTCCATGTCGGGGTCCAGGCTGCAATTGCCGGAAGGAGGATGGAGGGGGAAGGGTTTCAAGCGCGCATCTGCCAACATGTTTACCCATTTTTAAAGGCTCCAATGTAGTTCCTTTTTGGGTTAGATATAGGAGGTTCTAGTATACTACCCCAGAAAGGTACTACTTAGTTATGGGGAATTCAAGTATACTAGGTACTACATAGAAGCCTTTGGGTAGGGCTTAAACTGTCTCACGGGGTCTCACCGAAATGCCGCCCATGTCGTCGCCCCGGGAAGGAGGTGGTATGAAGCGGAACTTCACCACCTTGGTTCCCGATTTGAAGGTTCTTGGGTTAAGGCTTAGGGTCTAGGATGTGAAGCTTTTCAAGTTGCAATGAAGGGGTAAGGAGGAACCCCGAGGAGGGACTCTTAATCGTACTTCCCTATAGAACCTCAATATATACCCTTATATAGTCCCTCTATACCTAAGTAGCCCCTAAACAACTCCTAATGCCTTGGTGCAAGCTGTGTGGAAGCTAATGGGTGGGCGTGTAATGGGCTACTCAGGCTTTAGGGTTGAGGGTTGGGGTCTGCAGGGAAAAACCCCAGACCCAGTATGTAGGCGCTGGTCTCGACCTGGCGTAAACACAAGGACTTCTACGATTTCAGGTGGCGTACGTGTGACAGTTCCACATTCGAGGCCTCGGGGAGCCCTAGACCGCAACCTGTGCCAGGGAGAGATGATGTTTACAGGCGAGCTCGATTGCAAGCATTGCTACTATTTGCTTAGATCCGGCAGAGTGAATCCAAACCCTAAACTCCTAAACGCAAAAAAATGGGGATGGCGCTCGACGAACCTGTCGTTTTAGGGTTTAGTGTTTTAGGGCCCCTTGACGAATGTAACCCTAAACCCTGAACCCTAAACCCCAAACCCTAAACCCTAAACCCTAAACCCCAAACCCTAAACCTACCTACCTACCTACCTACCTACCTTCGGCCCCTGCCGGAGTTTTTTGGACTCCAAAGTCGAGAAGCTTTGTGGCCCGGTTTAGGGTTTAGGGTTTGGGGTTTGGGGTTTAGGGTTTCGGGTTTAGGGTTTAGGGTTTAGGGTTTAGGGCAGTAACCATACCATAGTAAGGGTACATTTTTTTGGGTTGCTTGCGTTATACGGGAACCTTGAACAAAAGAAGGAAGAAGGGCACCACCCGGCTACCAAGTAAATGTTATAGCCACATTGAGCTACTTGGAGCTCTGCGTAGGTGTTTGGGAATGGGATCGGCGCAGCGTTGGCGAGTGAGTGAGAATAAGAAGCCCCCTGCCTTGCTTAACCCCCCCCCCAAAAAAAAAGGTAACAAATGCCTAAAAGACATAGAATAGATATATATATATATATATATGTATGTGTGTGTGTGTTTATAACAGAGAGTATGGGGTGGCGGGGGCGGGATCACTCAGCTACGTGAGTGCGTGACCGGCTGTGCATCCCCACATGCTGAGAAAGGTGCACTCCCTGCGTGCGTGCACATGGCCAGTTCTCTAAACTTTGGTCCCTTTTTGGATGGCCTGAATAAGAGGGGCCGCCTTATAATGAAGAACCCAAAAGAGAGCCGAATTTGGAGAAATCACCACATCCTGAACCTCAACCGGATGATGAGCGCCGGGAACAGAGTTGGGATGTCGAGTTAGTGGGCTAGGATTCCTGGATGCTCCTGGACTTCTAGGGTTAATGGCATAAGGAGCTATGAGCCACCCCAGGGCTAAGTAGACTCATTAGACCCTAAACTTGGGATGTTCCCCCTCATACTACCAGTCCTGAATTGGGATTCTAATCGGGGGCACTATATCCCCTGTGAAGGACTGCTAGTATAACCCTAAACCCTAAACCCTAAACCCTAAACCCTGAACATCCCAACCCCAAGCCTAAGCCTCTCTGGGATGCTGGCATAGTCCTTGATTTTCTCGACCAACTGGCATGCAAGAGTTCGTAATATGGGGGGGCCTGAATAATTAGAATAGTATTTGTTTAGGGTTTAGGGTTTAGGGTAGAATAGTTTTTTTTTTTTTTTTTGTTTGGGGGGGGGGTTATGCCAGTACAATGACAAAGGAACCAGAAGGGAATATTCTTAGTAACTATTCCAACCCCTATAGTATCTTCTGCAGTCGCCGTTTGTTTTTTTTCAGTGGCAAGCTGGTGAATCGCGCCAAGGGCTGAAACGCTAAACTCGAAGCCCTCAACCACACGCCCGGGGAGGAACAAACGGCATGTTCAAAGACGTCGCTTAAAGCGAGGCCTCTACACAACACTACGACAACTGAATCTACACACCCAGATGCAGACATCGAAGTCATGCGCAGAAGATGCTCGACGCAAACTCTGAACAGCACAGCGCTGCCTCATCAGGGTGCTGCTTCTTCCCTGCCTTCTTCTCCTCTTGCTGCTTCTTGAACCTTCGTTTTGGAAGCAGGGCTCAGTGGCTGGGGCAAGCCCTATCATGGACCCTGAGCGTGCGAGAGCGCCGCTGACCAAATGTGTAGTCAATGGCAAAGGGCTAGGAGGTTCAAATGGAGTGCTGCAAAAACCAGCCTCGACTACCTGTGCAAGCACGCAAGACCCAAACGAAGAACCAAGCAGGAAGCTCCAAAAAGCCTGGCCCGTGCGGCGACCTAATCAGACCACCTCGACACAGAAACCTGTCCCAACAACACGCTCCAAACAACCCGCAAGCCCTAACCCCAAACCCTTATTACCCTGACTAAACCCTACACATGTACTTGTTGTGGTCATTGAGAGGCCCCAAGAACCTGAATACTGAGTGTCACTAAGGGGGTCGAGCGTCTCTGAGTGATAATGCATACTTTCAGAGAGTTGGATCCCCCAAAGTTGCGGGTGAACCTCGAAGCCCTAAACCCTAAACCCCTAAAACCCTAAACCCTAAACCCTAAACCCTAAACCCTGAACCCTAAACCCTGCGACAGATACAAAAACTCCAGGAGCGCTGCTCCTTCTCGCGCTCGCGCACGCGGGCCGCGTGGCCCCTCTTGAACTCCTGGTTTGGGTCTACTGTAGGATAGGGTTTGTTAGGGTTTAGGGTTTAGGGTTTAGGGTTTAGGGTTTAGGGTTTAGGGTTTAGGGTTTAGGGTTTAGGGTTTAGGGTTTAGGGAGTAGGGCTTAAGGTTCAGGGTCTAGGGTTTCGGGCTTTTTCGGTGTGGTTTAGAGGGTCGGCTCTCAAAATTCTGGTCTTTTTTGGGGTACCCTATCGTCACCTCCAAGAGGAGCCGCAAAAATTTAGGGAACCCTAAACCCTAAACCCTAAATCCTAAACCCTAAACCAAGTGATCGCAGAAGCTCTAAGAGCTGACTCGGTACACCTCCTCTGTAGAGTGAGTACACTCAGAGGCCCCGGCCGTGTAGCCACCGCGATAGGAGATCAACTTTCTCTCCTGCGGAGGGTTTAGGGTTTAGGGTTTGGGGTTTAGGGTTTGGGGTTTGGGGTTTGGGGTTTGGGGTTTGGGGTTTGGGGTTTGGGGGTTTCGGGTTCGGGTTTAGGGTTTCAGGCTTAGGGATTAAGATCTATGGTTTCGGGTTTAAGGATTAAGGTTTAGGGTTTGGGGTTCGAGGTGCCCGTCCTACCTTCTTCGGCTGAAAAAGCAGCAAGCACACATTACAAACCAGAGTCGGCCTGTTTAGGTTTGTTAAGGGGTGTAGAACCCCGAAGTATATGTATATATATATATATACCTTACATAGTCCCTCTGTACCTAAGTAGCCCCTCAATAGCCCTAAGAAACCCCTAAGGTCCCTTATAAGGGTCCTTAGCGTTTAGGGTTTAGGGTTTAGGGTTTAGGGTTTAGGGTTTAGGGTTTAGGGTTTAGGGGTCCCTCCTTTAGTCCCTTGAAATTAAGGCCTGAGGGCTTCGTTGAGCATCCTAGAAGCCCTGCCACCAGGGCACACGACACCCTTGGTGACCGAAAGAACCCGGTTTAGGGTTTAGGGTTTATAGGGTTTAGGGTTTAGGGTTTAGGGTTTAGGGTTCAGGGTTTAGGGTTTATAGGGTTTAGGGTTTAGGGTTTAGGGTTTAGGGTTTAGGGTTTAGGGTTTAGGGTTTAGGGTTTCTAGGGCTTGGGAATCATAGTAGAATAGGGTAAGGGTTCACAGACCTTAGTAGGAATTATTGTCGTATGGGTATATGAACACAATTGTTGGGTTCATTTTGTCCCGGAGGACCTGAAGACCGGCGATTTCTAACTCCCATGCTCGAACAAGCGGGTGGTACACGGAGCATCAGCGCGTCAATCCACACACCGAAGCCCTCAGTCTGTTGCCCCAAACCCCAAAAACCAGCAAAGCCCCCCCTAAACCCTGAGCCCTCAACCCTGAACCCTAAAACCCTGAACCTTGAACCCTGAAGCACTGACCCTTCTTCCGCACTGCTGCGCAGGATCCCCATAGCCCCCGAATGCTAAACACTAAACCCTACAGCCAACCCCTACACCCTAAACCCTAAACTCCCGAGGTTTCAAGCCCCCAACCTTCCATCTCCCATGAATACAACCCTGTAAAATTCTTGCTTGCTATTCTAGACTATTCTTACCATTGTTGCTGTTCCCACAACTTACACTGTAAATTACAATGATTGTACCATGCTTGCGAGACTACCACCCTAAACCATAAACCCCAAACCCTAAACTACCCTAAACCCCAAACCCTACCCCCCTTTTGACTGTATATGAAGTAGGGTACATATTTCTTGTACCCCCAAAAGGACACCCAATATATACACTCACCAATATTAAAAAGCAACCTTATATACACCCCACCAAAAACAGAAATATAAACCCTGCTTCATATACGCCCCCTTGCCTCCAAGTGGAGGACGTCGGTGCACACCGAATCTAAGAAGTCGGCATCGTGCGAGACCACCAGCAGGGTTCTGAGCAGCTCTGGGGCTTACCTTGGGTTTAGGGTTTAGGGTTTAGGGTTTAGGGTTTAGGGTTTAGGGTTTAGGGTTTAGGGTTTAGGGTTTAGGGTTTAGGGTTTAGGGTTTAGGGTTTAGGGTTTACGGTTCAGGGCTTCAGCTTTAAGGAGGCAACTTGGTGAGGTGTCTGGGTCTACATAGGTGGGCTTCGGGCCTCAACCCCTGATCCCTGATACAGGCTTTGCGGATCAGAGTTCCTAAACCCTAAACCCTAAACCCTAAACCCTAAACCCTAAACCCTACAGTTCTTGCTGCGGCCATCCCA